CCGGTTACACCACCACCCTTAAGTTCCTCGGTGACGAAGGTTACGCGGCTAGGTCTCGCACTTACCACATATCTTACGAGAGAGAGCGGTATCGGTGGAGCGAGTGCGTTGCGTATCACGTGAGCCGGGCGTATCCGCTCGTCATATCCGCGTTGATGCGCTCACGGCCGTGATCCCTCACCGCCAGGACGTCCTCGAATCCTTTCCCGTGCCTGAGCCTGTGCTCCTCTTATCACAGCTTACCGTCGCTTTCTTTTCTCCTCGTTCACCCTTCCCACTCCCACTAACGTCTTTAGTCCTTCAACCGTTTCGCGCAACGATGCACCAAGGAAGAATACACTCCTGTCAGCCCTACGCCCGCTATATCCTTTTACTTTTCTACGAATCCTTTATCGGTCAGAGGAAGATTTCACCGTTCGGAACCGTTCCCTCTTTTCTTTTCTTTCTCAGCACGCAATCGCTAGCAACGTGCCGTCGTCGTCGTGATCGTCATCGTTAGCATCATGATCACCACACCAGTAGCAAAGCACCACCGTAAGAGACCACTAACCGAGAGAGCACACCACTACCAAGGACCGCGCGACACGCAGGCAACCAGGCAGGCAGGCGAGCAAGCGAGCGAGCGAGCGGGCACTCACGCACTCACGCAGAGACACGTACAACACATCTGCCGGAGGCCGAGCATCGCTACCACCGCTGCGATTTCCCACCACCACACCACTCCTTCTTCTCGCCTTGTGTTTAAACTTATAAATAGATATCTGGGTGCGTTCGATTATATTTATATGTACGCCGGTTATCTATGTGTGCGCTCGCATGTGTCTCGCGTTCCCGTCGGTGGTGTCAGTGTGCGTGTGTGCGCGCGCGGCCGAGCGTACGCGGTGTAAGCGCGTGCATGGTCTCCTACACCCTCGCCGCTTCCACGAACGCAAGCGAAATCGTGTGCGGACGTGTGCGCTGCTCGTCCGCGGGCTGCACGTATTATTCACGGTACACCTAGTTAGTTACGCGGCCGTTCTTTTCTTCTCGATCCCCCTCTCCGATCCACCCCCTTTCCACCTTGCGGACTGTCTCCCTTACTCTCGCGGTTTTTCTTCATGCCTTATCTCGCTCGACCCTTACGGGATTTCCCGCGATCGAGTTCCTCGACTGGCGACTAACGATTCTAGATAATAGAGAAGAAGATCGCAGCCGATCGGTTTTGTCGGTTAGCCGACTCGACCACCGCTCTTCTC